TGTCAACAAGAACACAGCTCTTCACCTGGCCTGCAGCAAGGTGGGCACCGCGCTCACCGCCACCGGCCCCTTGAGAGGGGTCTCATCCAGAGCAGAGCCGCAGGCGCTGCTCCCTCAGCTCCCAGCAGCTCCGGCTGGAGCACGGCCTGAGGATGCTCTGGGCTCGTGGTGGGAGCACATCCATGGGGTGCAGGGGATGGAGGAGGCAGCAGTTTGGCTTCCTAAGCCCTGCCAAAGCAAAGGGGTGGCTCCTGTGGGAGGTTGGGTTTAGGGAACGTTTCTGTATCCTGAGCATCCCCATTCCAGTGGGGCAGCTCCAGGTCAGCCCCAGGGCTCCTGCTCGTGCTCCCTGAGCATCCTGCTCTCCTTTCCAGGGCCATGAAAAGTGTGCCTTGTTGATCCTGGGGGAAACCCAAGACCTTGGCCTTATCAATGCAAGTAACAGTGCTCTGCAGATGTGAGTACTGGGGAGGAGCTGGCTTTGCTGGGTGCCGGGGGGGGGGACACGCAGTGGGGATGGTGGCAGCAGCCAAGGGGGTGCTGGGGGCTTCCTGGCTGCCTGGGCACAGCTCCATGCATCCAGGTCCTTTTGCAGCCGCTCTGCCCCCACGCCTGGAGCGTGTCCATGGGGTTGGGATGCTGTGGCCCTGCCTGGGTTCATGCTCCTGCCTTGTCCTGCTCCCCCCAGGCCGCTCCACATCGCAGCACGCAATGGGTTGGCCGCCGTGGTGCAGGCCCTGCTCAGCAGAGGGGCCACTGTGCTGGCTGTGGATGAAGAAGGTGCGTGTTCCCCACGGGTGCTGGGGGGGGGCAGTGGAGGGTCCCCAATGGGTACTGGGTGCTCCCCAGGGAAGCGCTCAGCAGCAGCTCCATGTCCTTCCCGTGCCTCTCAGCTTGGGGCATTGCAGGTGAGGAGAGCGGTGCCCTGGGGAGGCATTCCCAGGTCCCACAGCCTGGAAATGCATCCCTGCCTCCCCTGCTGCACCTCCGGGTGCTGCCAAGGCACAAACCCAGCCCGGGCTCAGCCACTCACTCCCCTGCAAGTGGCTGTTGTGGCCTGAAGCTCTGCCTCCCAGCAGGGTTCTTGCTCTGCTGCAGGGCCTTTAGGTTATGGGATGTTACAAGAGGAATATAAGTTATGTGTCTATGGGTTAAGTGCAAGGATAACGGGAGTAGGGTGTTGGAAGGGGAATATAAGTTATATATCTATGGGTTAAGTGCTAGGATAACAGGAGTAGGATCTTTGAAGAGGAATATAAGTTCTGTGTCTATGGGTTAAGTGCTAGGATAATGTGAGTAGGGTGTTGGAAGAGGAATATAAGTTATATATCTATGGGTTAAGTGCTAGGCTAGGATAATGTAAGTTACATATGTATGGGTTAAGTGCTAGGGAAGAGGAATATAAGTTATATATCTATGGGTTAAGTGCTAGGATAACGGGAGTAGGATCTTTGAAGAGGAATATAAGTTATATATCTATGGGTTAAGTGCTAGGATAACGGGAGTAGGGTGTTGGAAGAGGAATATAAGTTATATATCTATGGGTTAAGTGCTAGGATAACGGGAGTAGGGTGTTGGAAGAGGAATATAAGTTACATATCCATGGGTTAAGTGCTAGGATAACGATAATCTTTGAAGAGGGAGTCTATGGGTTAAGTGCTAGGATTATGAAGAGGAATATAAGTTAATATCCCTGAATATGTTATGTGTCCGGGGCTGATCTTTGAAGAGGAATATAAGTTACATATCCATGGGTTAAGTGCTAGGATAACGGGAGTTATGGAATATCCCTGTGGTGCCGGGGCTGCGGGGGCTTTTTGCTTGTGTCTTGCTGCTCCTGCCCCGCAATTCCTGCTGTCTAAAGCCAAAGCTCATCCCCAAGCAGGGGACGAAACCTGCCCTGACCCCCGCATCCCATGGGGCAGGCACCGCTCCTTCAGCCCTCTCCTCTGCCCTAGGTCATACCCCAGCCTTGGCGTGCGCTCCCAACAAGGACGTCGCCGACTGCCTGGCACTTATCCTGTCCACCATGAAGCCTTTCCCCCCTAAGGACACCATCGGCTCCTTCAGCTTCAACCTCCTCAAGAACTGCGGCATCGCAGCCAAAACGGCCGCCTGCGGGGCTCTGCCCAACGGCAGCTCCTGCCCCTACGGCAAGGACCGGCCCAGCGCCATCGGCCTCGACGGCTGCTACTCGGAGTAGCGGCAGCTGATGGGTGACCCGATCTCTTTATTCTATTTATTTAGGAGTTCTGTGCATCTAGGGCACTTTAAAGGAGAACAAGACTGGGCAGGGCCCCCCCCGGGGCCGAGCCAAGAGTTCAGCGCGGCCTCGTCCCGCTGGATGTGCCCATGATGCCATCCCCGGCCCCGTCCTCCTCCTGCTGCGCTCAGGGTGGGAGATGGGTGCTGATGGGTTTGCCCCCCCCCCCCTTCTCCCCCCCCCAAAACCTTTTGGTTCTGATGGTTTCTGTCATCCCCTTCCCCCGTCCCCCCCCCGTTTTTGCTTTGTTCCCTTCCTCGCTCCATCCATCGGGATGGGGAAGCCTGAACTCTTGGTGGGGTGATGGGGGGGGGGTGGGGGGTAGGGGGTGGGAGCTGCTGCTCCCTTTGCAATCGCTTCCCAAGCTCATCCTCCCATTCCAAGACACACTTGAATCCAGATCTACTGTACCTGGGACGCTGAGCTCCCCTTCAGGCAGCTCTCATGGGTAAGCAGCACGGGTGCTGCTGCCCGAGCCCGTGCCCAGGCTATGGATGCGCTGCTGGAGCCTCCCTCCCCTTTACCAGGCACTTTAGGGATTCTCTTGGTTGGGTTTTGCTGCCTCTGGCCGAGGGTCAGATCCAAGGAATCGAGGCTTGGCCCAGGTTCCAGTCCCTGTTTGCTTTTTTTAGTTAGAGAGAGAGAAGAAAAAAAAAAGAAGTTATTTATAGCGAAAAGGAGCATTTTCCTTGGGGAAAAACCCAACAAAATCCATAAAAAATCCCCCCTCTCCGAAAGCCTGCCCCTTTCCAGAAGGACAAGAAATGCACTTCAAAGCCCTTGCTCCCAGCCGGGGGAAACCTCTGTGTATTTTTCTACTGCAGCATCGTGGCGTGCTTGTGGGGTGATTGTGGTGTTCATTTTGGGGGGGGGGGGGGTGGTTTGGACCTTTAGGAATCCCATTCCCGCTGCAGCTTCGAGGCCCTGGCAGATGTTGCACTGCTCCATGTTATTCCCTTTGGGGTCGGGGCTTCTCCCCCCTTCTTGCCCGCTCGGGGTCCCCGTAACCGTTCCCACGTGCACAGAGCAGCCCTCTGGCCACGAGGCTCTTCAAAGCCAAAGACTGGGATGCAGAGAGCCGGCAGAGAGGGATCAGCTTGGCCCTTCCCAACCCGCAGCCCCCCCACCCCGCCGTGGGTGCCCTCAGGCCGGGAGCAGGGAGCAGAGCATCCCTGCATCCTCCCACCCTGAGCCTCATTCCGAGAGGATGCTGAGGGAAGGGGCTCTCTTGGGGTGAGGCTGTGCTGCTGCTGCGGCCCCTTCACGCTGTTGCTGTCTTCGAACCAAAGCCAAACTCTTCCGAACCAAATAGGACGTTTCAGGCTTGGCCTTTGGGTGGGGATGAGCACGTTCCCTTCACGGGGCCCATCTCAGCTCCCTCCTCCCGGCCCGTGCCCAACCCGCACTTTGTTCAGCGAAGCACTCGAGAGGTTTATGCCGATGGGGAGATCCCTTTCCCCCCCCTTCTCCACCCCATCCCTTGGAGCTTGAGCGCGAGCGTTGCCCCTTCTGCACCGAGTTACCTCAGTTCGCATCCGGAAGAAACTTGAACCCCCCGAATCCTTTGGGAAGATCCTTGCTCAGTGCTGGGCGGCGGAGAACTGGACCCAGAGCCTTGTTTACAGGGATGGAGCCCGCCTCCCGCTCTTCCCCTTTCCCAGGAGGAATTCCGCCATCGCTTTCTCTCCTCTGCTCGCTGCCGACCCCAACCCTCCCCGCTTCAATGGGTTCAATGGGGCCAAAGTCCTGAGCCTCCCATCTCCGAGGGCACGAGGGGCTGAGCTGCTCCCGGCTCCCAGGGCTCCGCCGTTCCCATCCGCGCCCTTGGCCTCATCCTGCTGGGCCTCGGGCCGGGACTCAGCACCCTTTCCCTTGGGCTGGAGCGTGGCTCAATGCTGCTTTTCCTTCCCCCCCCCTTTCCATCTCTCTGTTCTTCAGCAGTGGTTGTGTGGTTGCTCAGTCCCGCTCCGCTCTCGTTGGCCTTGTTCCTTGCGCCGCGTTCCCTGCCCCTGAGACAATCAATGGGATCTCTGTAAGGGCTTCCCCCCGCCGAGCCCCGCTTCGCTCGCGAGGGCTCTCCCCTCGCTCCCCTTCCCCTTTTGGGCTTCCCCGAAGGAAGGATGTCGGTTCCAGCAGCGCAGCCGTGGCCTGGGGCGCGGGAGGGAGGGTGGGCAGGGGCAGGGATGCGCGGGGCGGGCGCGGGCCCCGGTCTTGTTCTCCTTTAAGTGCATGGTACCCCGCTGGCAGCACCGCACAGCTTGACAATTCCAGGCCTCATCCAGGAGTCTGCTCCTAGCGCATCCCTTTAGCGCGCCACGAGATCCGGGGGCGCTGTGAAGAGGGGCGGAGGGAAACTTCCGGGGTGCCCCCATCTCCCTCCCTCCCCAGGGCCCTTTCATGCCAAAGTTGGACCATTCCCGCTTCGCTCCCACCAAGCAGTGACTTTTTGGCTTCCCCCCCCTCCCCATTCCCAAAGCTATTCCAAGCTCTTGGACCCCCGGCTCCCCCCCACCTCACCCAACCTGGGGACCCAAGGAAGTCTCTCTCCGCCCCCTTGGTCCAAAGCACTTGCTTCAAGTAATAAGCACTTTTGTTCGAGCATGAGTCTGGATTCCCTTTAGCATCCCATGGGATAAAGCGAGCGACCAAGAGCGCGAGGGAGTCTTTGGGTTGATTTTTGGTCCCGTTTGGGGTTCCAAACGGGAGGAGAATCCATGGGGAGCAGCTGGGTGTTGAGGGAGGCCGAACCCAAGAGCACAACTGCATCTCAATCCAGGGTGGATTTGCACTGCCACTGCTGAGCCATAGAAACTGCTGACAAACACTGAATGTAGGGGCCGGGGGGGGGGCAAAGGGGGGGCTCGGCCTCCATTGGGCACTGAATGGAATTCACCCCCCCATTGCTCAATGATGGGGGGGGGGGGTGTTGGTGCTGGGCCTGAGCTGCAGGTGAGGTGAAACGTGGAGCTCTGGATGGTTTCCCCCCTCCCCTCTGCCATTCCCTTCTCCTAGCCCGGGATGGATGGAGCCAGGGGGGCCCCGAGCATCTCCCGCAGCCCCAAACCGGGAATGGGGTGAGGGCCATGTAAAAGTAGCACTAAAAGCAAAGCAAAGCCCCCCAAAACCATGGAGCAAGGGTTAGGGTTGGGGTTGGGGTTGGGGTTGATCTTCCCATTCCAACCACTCGGAGCAAGGGAGGAATGAGGGAGACCCCGACACCCCCCCCCCTAATCCTGGACCCCAAAGCCAATCCTGGTGTTGGGGTTGTGGGGAGCTGCTCCTGCTCCATCCCGGGGCCCTGTGGCCGCAGGGACCACAAGGGGGGCACCCCAGTGGGAATGGGATGGGGGCAGGCTCCCCTTTGCCTTCAATAAGAAACCAAAGGAAAATCCAACCCCTTCCCCTCCCGGCCACGCGGATTTGGGGCTTTTTTCCTTCTCTCCCTTTTCTCTTCCCTCCTTCCCCTTGTTTCTGTTTCTCTCCAAGGACACGAGGAGCTCAGACCTCTTCTCCTGGCCCAATCCTGCCGGGCTCAGCACTGCTGGGTGCGTTTGCAAGGAGAAAACATCCCCCCCCCCCCCCCCAAATCCCACAGAGCCGGGAGGAGGCGGAAGCATCACCTTTGGAACGGGGATGCGGAGGGTAACAGCATCCCTGCTCTTTAGTTCCACATCCATGGATGGGGATGGAGCCAGGGTGGCTGCAGTGGGGTGGGGGGATGCATCCCTATGGGCTTTGAAGGCATCTTGTAGCGAGCTCTGTGTCGATCCCTGTGTGTAAATGCTGCACCTCTGTATCCCCTGCACATCGACGTGTGTGTGTCTTGAAGCTAGGACAGACCTCAGCACCCATCAGGTAGCAACAGCCCCCCCCAACCTCTGCCGTGTCGTCGTGTGCGTGCAAAGCGGTTTCGTGTGTGGGTCCCGAGGAGGGGGACGCAAGAGGAACAAAGCCTTACTCGACCCAGTCCCATCGGTAGTGTTCGTCCACTTGAAACCAATAAAGTGAAACGCATGGAAAGCTCCAGGTGGGCGCCGGGCTCTCCATGGGGGGGGGATGAGGGCCCTAAGGGGTGTTTCTGTGGGGCTCTGCGCTTGGGTCCCAAGGGGTTGCTGCTCCTTGGAGCCCATGGGTACCACGGACCCGCTGCTGCCTTGCGAGCCCTGCATCCATGGCAGGGGGGGATGGATGAGGATGGAGTCACCGGTTGGGATGGGGCCGGGAGCGCGTCCGGATGCTGGTGGCTTCTTCCCCTCCCTGAGCTCGGGCTCTGTGAGACGTGGCCGGTTCGGGGGGTGAAGTTTGGGGTGAGCAGAAGGAGGCCAAAGCTGATGGAAGGCTTGGGGGGGGGGTGGGTGTGAAGGTGCCTTGGAGCTGCCCCAACCAGAGGCTGTGAGGAGGGGAATGATGCTCGGAGCCGGTCCTGGTCCTGCCGTGCCCATCCCGCATCCCAACCCTGGGCATCCTCCTCGGAACCACGCCCGTGGCCCCGGTGATTCCTCTGGGCACTGAATGGGCATCGGGGGACGCTCAGCTCCTGCCTTGCTCATGGACCCCCAAATCCCGTCCCTGGGCAGCCCCCACCTCCGGGGGGGGGGATAACAGCTCCAAACCGGGCGCTCTGTGCCTCCGGTTGGGAAAGGGAGGTGTTGCGTGGTGTGATGTCATCGCTGACGTCATTTTGTGGGGTGCTTACCCTCATACCCCCTATATCGGGGGTTCCCCCCCCAAGCATCAGCACCGCCTCTGTAGACAGAGCCGGGGGGCGTGGCCTCCTCTTCTGATTGGTCGTTACGGATGGAGGCGGGGGCCTCGCATCCCGCCGTTGCCGTGGCAACCGCGTCCTCCTCGCTCCTTATTGAGGGGGTACCGGGGGGGGGGGAACCGGGACCCGGCGCCCTCGTTTGAATCAGTTCCGTTTATTAAAACGCCGTTGTTCGAGGCCCCCGGTCCAAGGGGACGGAGAAGGGGAAACGCCGCCGGGGTCCGCCCCGGAGCCCTCCCGTCCCCGCGGGGAGGCAGGGACCGGATGGGGATGAACCCCCCGGGGATGCTGCGGGGGGCGATGCCCGGTGCCGGGGGGGGCTGCAGCGGGGCCGCTCAGGGCTGCAGCCAGGCGCGGACGTGGCCCTCGGCCAAGGCGATGCCCATCATGGTGCCGCTGCCCAGCAGGAACCCCGCGTTCTGCAGGAGGAAGCGGCCCCACGAGCCCGCATCGGGGTCCTCGGAGCGGCGCAGAGCCTCGGGGAGCTGGGGCAGAGCGGGGTCAGCACCGGCCCCACTGCTGCCCCATGGCTGCCCCACCACTGCCCCACGGCTGCCCCACCACTGCCCCATGGCTGCCCCACCACTGCCCCATGGCTGCCCCACCACTGCCCCATGGCTGCCCCACCACTGCCCCATGGCTGGCCCGCCGCTGCCCCATGGCTGCCCCACCACTGCCCCATGGCTGCCCCACCACTGCCCCATGGCTGGCCCGCCGCTGCCCCATGGCTGCCCCACCACTGCCCCATGGCTGCCCCACCACTGCCCCATGGCTGCCCCACCACTGCCCCATGGCTGGCCCGCCGCTGCCCCATGGCTGCCCCACCACTGCCCCACGGCTGCCCCACTGCTGCCCCATGGCTGCCCCACCACTGCCCCATGGCTGCCCCGCCGCTGCCCCACGGCTGCCCCGCCGCTGCCCCCTTACCATATCGGCCAAAGCCACGTAGAGGAAGACGCCCGCGGTGAGGGTGAGGATCCATGGGGTGAGATGAGCCGCGCTCTGCCCCACGGCGGCCCCCGCCGCCGCCCCCAGGCAGGAGAGCAGAGCCGAGAGCAGGTTGAGGAGCAGGAGGCTGCGCGGGGACGTGCCCGCCTGCAGCAGCACGGCCAGGTCGCCTATGGAGGGGGGAACGTGGGGGCTCGAGGGGGGGGCCACGGCCACCGGGGGGCTCGGGGGGGGCAGGACCATACCGAGCTCGTGGGGCAGCTCGTGGCAGAGCACGGCCAGGGCGGTGCTGAGCCCGCTGGGGATGCTGTGCGAGAAGGCGGCACCTGCGGGAGGAGGGAGCTTGAGGCCGGACCTGCACGGCCGCCGGTGCACCAGGTACCGCTTGTGCCTGTGCATCCCTTGTCCCTGAGCATCCTTACGCCTGTGCATCCCTGTCCTTGTGTATCCTTATCCCTGTGCCTCCCTATAGCCATGCATGCCTTCTCCTGTGCATCCCTGTCCCCCTACATCCCCATCCCCTGCATCCTTATCCTTTCTGCATCCCTTGTCCCTGTGCATCCCTATCACTGTGCAACCCTATCCCTACATCAACCCATCCCCTGCCTCCATACATCCCTATTCTGCATCCCTTGTCCCTGTGCATCCCTATCACTGTGCAACCCTATCCCTGTGCATCCCTATCACTGTGCAACCCTATCCCTGAGCATCCCTATCACTGTGCAACCCTATCCTGTGCATCCCTATCACTGTGCAACCCTATCCCCGTGCCTCCATACATCCCTATCCCTGTGCATCCCTGTCTCTGTCCATCCCTATCCTCGTGCCTCCATACATCCCTATCGCTGTGTATCCCTTGTCCTGTGCGTCTATATCCCTGTGCATCCCTTGTCCTGGGCATCCCTTGTCCTGGGCATCCCTGCCCCCGTGCATCCCTATCCCCATGCCTCCATACATCCCTATCCCTGTGCATCCCTTGTCCTGTGCATCCCTTGTCCTGTGCATCCCTATCCCCGTGCCTCCATACATCCCTATCCCTGTGCATCCCTACCCCCGTGCCTCCCTTATCGCCACGCACCCCGCTCCCGGTGCCCCCCTCACCGATGGCCAGCCCGTCGGTCAGGTTGTGGACCCCGTCGCCCAGCACCACCATCCACACCACGTCTGCGGCCGCGGGGCCGGGGGGCAGCGCGGGGCCGTGGGAGTGTCCGTGGTGGGGGGGGGCCCCGCGGGGCATCAGCTCCAGCTCCGCCTCCGGGGCCGCCGGCCGCGGCTCAGCCCCTGCCATGGCGGGGGGACACCGGGGGTGGGCTCGGGGACCGGGGCCGCTGCTCGGTACCGGAGCGGGGGGGGGGGGGGGGGCGGTTTTACCTCCTCTTAACGGCGCCAGGACCCCAGCGCCTGCATCCGGGGTCGGTCCCTGCTGAAGGCACCACCGAGGGGTCGGGTGCGGAGCCGGACCCGGGGGTGGTGAGGAGTGGGAGGAGGGAAGCCCCAAGTCCCGCACCCCCGCTCAACCCCCGGTGCCTCCGGCCCTCACCGCGGCCTCGCGGCTCCGGCGCAGCATCCCCAGGAGCAGCTCGAGCAGGAAGAGGAGGTAAATTCCGCCCAGCACCGCCAGCCCCTGCAGCACCGCGGGTCCCGGAGCCGCCTCCGCCGCCTCCGGGTGCTGCCCCTGCGCCTGGGCACCGGGGATGCGCGGCTCAGAGCCGGTGCCTCCGGTGCCCTCCCCGTGCGGCCCCGGTAACGCGGGGGGCTCCGGTACCTACGTGGGGCCAGAGGTGGAGCAGGGCGTCCCCGCAGAGCGTCCCCACGGCCAAGGCCACCAGGAAGGCGAGGAGCGAGCGGAAGAAGCTGCGGCTCAGGAGCGGGACGAGAGCCACGGCCCCCGCCGACGGGAGGCTGATGAAGGCGACGGCCAAGAGCCCCCAGCCCAGCGCTGCGGGACGGGGCAGGAGCCGGGGATGGAAGGGAGGAACGGGGGGGTGCGGGGATGGGGCACAGGAGACGGGGGGGATGCGGGGGAGCCAGGGATGGGGATGCAGGGACAGAGCCCACATGGCCCAGGTGATGGGGGACCTGGACCTCAGGGTGCAGGGACACGGGGACCGTACCCTGGGGGATGCAGGGATGGGGAATACAGGGACCTGAGGATGGGGCTGCAGGTACAGGGGAGCCAGGGATGGGACATGGGGTGCTGGGACATGGGGAAAGGGAGGAAGGTGGGGATGTGGGACGGGCAGTGAAGGATGGGGTGGTGGGGAACGGGGACAAGATGCAGGGATGATGATGGAGGGGTGACGGAGCCAGGGATGGGGATGCAGGTACAGGGCACTCAGGGTCCAGGTGATGGGGAACCAGAGGCTCAGGGTGCAGGGATACGAGGACCAGACACTGAAGGATGCAGGGATGGGGAGCACGGGGACCTGAGGATGGGGCTGCAGGTACAGGGGACCCAGGGATGGGACATGGGGTGCTGCGGCATGGGGAAAGGGAGGAACGTGAGGATGCAGGATGGGGTGGGACAAGATGCAGGAGTGATGATGGAGGGGTGGGGGAGCCCGGGATGGGGACGCTGGGTCCCAGCTGATGGTGGGGGACCAGGGGCTCAGGGACCAGCCCCTGGTGGATGCAGGGATGGGGCATCACAGGATGGAGCTGCCCGTACAGGGGCCGCAGGGGTGGGTTCTGAGGGACCGGGGAGCAGGGTCAGGGCCCCGGTGTGGGGGTTACCTGCCCACGGGCCCCCCCCGGGGGGGGGCAGCTCCACGTCGTCGCTGTGCTGGATGCAGACCCTGCTGTCGATCTGGTAGAGCAGGGCCGGGCAGAGCAGCGAGAACTGCTCCGGGGTGAGCTGCGCCGCCGCCTCCAGCCCCACGCTCACCAGGAGCTGGCTCACGTTGAGGCACTGTGGGGCCGGCAATGAGCGGCCATGGGGGGGGACACAAGGGGGGGACACCCCCATAGTGACACCGAACCCCCAAACCCCCCCGGATCCCTGCTCACGTCGTGGTTCAGGTGCTCAGCGCCGGAGGGCTCCAAGCCCAGGACCCTCCCGAGCAGGCTCAGCCCCGGCACCGGGGGGGCCCCACGGCTCTCGGTGGGTCCCGGCTTCAGGGTGCTCTGAGCCCGCGTGGGTCGGGGGCTGCGGGGCAGAGCGCGGGGTGAGTCCACGGAGCAGCACGGAAGGGAACGGAAGGGGAGGATCGGGGCCGGATGGGGCCGCGGTACCTGCCGGGGGCCGGGTCCCCGCCGTGCTCCCATAGCGGGTGGCGGTGGCGGTGCCGCTCCTCCTGCACCTCGAGCAGGTCGAGGTGGCTGACGTGGCCGTGGCCCAGCTCCTCGTGCTGGATGCGAACCACCCGCACCCGGCCCAGCCCCAGGCTCCCGAGCAGCCGCGCCAGGCCCTCGGACGGCAGCGTCCCGTTGGCCCCCCCGTAGTGCCCGAAGAGGCGCCGCAGGTACCCCCCGTGCTCCGCGCTCCCCAGCGCCAGCAGCAGCGGCAGCACCAGGAGCCCGCGGCCGCCCATGGGGGCTGCGGGGACAACGCGGAGGGGAAGGGGGGGGCCCGGTTAATGTTTGACCATTGGGGGGAGAACGGCGCTGCCACCACCACCACCCCCCCCCCAATCCATGGGGCTGCGACCCCTCCATCACCGCCCCATAGCCCCCAGTGCTGCCTCCTCCCCCCCCCCAACTTGGGGTGCGTGGTCCCCCCCCCCATCGCTCCGCGGTACCGGTATCACCCCCCCCCCCCCCCCATTCCTCACCTGCACCGCGCTCGCTGCACCCAACCCGGGGGGGGGCAAGGGTCACCGTGGGGCTGCTCCCATCAGGGAGGGGCCACGCATGGATGGGGGGGGGTCTTAAAGGGCGCGGTGCGGGGATGGACCCTGCAATGGGGCAGAGGCAGCGGCAGGGGCTCAACCTTTATTAACCCCCCCCAAAGGCAGGGGGGGGGCGGGGGGGGGCCCCGTTATCTCTTGCTGCTCCTCCGCGTCTCTTTGCCGTTGCTGAGCGGGGGGTGCCCGGGTTGGCTGCGGGTGATGCGGCCGCTGGGGGGGTGCGCGGGGGGGGCCCCGTTCCCATTCTGGCCCTCGGGGGCTGCAAGAGGAGCAGAGGGAGGGGGAGGAGGCAGCGGGATGGGAGCTGGGGGGGGGACAAGGAAAGGGGGGGGAAGGGGATGTGGGACCTACCCGG